AGGGAGGGAGAGTAAGAGAGAAGGAGAGGCTAAAGCTGGAGAAGGGTGGAGAAGGAGGGAAGAAGGGGCTCCAAGAGGGCAGGGGCATTTCCTTTCTCCCCAGGGGGTAGCACCAACCATGTCTGGTACACAGTAGATGCAAGCAAATCGTCAGCATGGGGAATCAGCGTTTACAGAGGTGCTGCCAGGCACAGAAGTTTGCACATTTCTTATTCAAGTTGATCCTCTCCTATGAAGTCAGTGTTATTATTGTCCCCAATTTATAGATACGGTTATTGCCTCAAAGTGACTTAAAGATGGCCTAGTAAAAGAGGAAATGAAAAAGAAAAGTTATGTTCAGAACCACCTAGTTTTATCTCATTTAAAACAAAATGAAGAGTGAGATGACTGTAAGTTTACATGAGAGAAGGGTCATGCATGTTTTCCGGAAAGCTCCTCTTTTTAGTGACTGTCTTAAGTAGCACGTTGAAGCTTTTCTTCACTGATATTCTTTCAGTGTGATTTGCATTCTGGGAAATCACAGAACAACAGTGGGAAAAAGCAAGTAATCAATGAGAAGTAGTTTGGTAATTTTTAAATGAAAACAGAAAGCAACAGCAGCACCTACCACCATCAGCCATCACTAGCAAGGTGTCAATCACTGAGTACTTTTCAACTAAATTGAGAAAAAACCAATTACCTTGTATATAATTTAAAATGTTTCAGCTGATCTCCAGAGGATTAAAGACAGGATCTGCTTGTTCAGTGTACCTCAAACCCATACACAAATGAGGCTCTTCCTGCACCACACATTTCTAGTCAAAGACAATATTTTGTTTCTAAGAAGAGTAGCACCCACAATATAACTGCAAATGAATGTCACATCAGACACACACACACACACACAAGAAATGGAGGCAGACAATGTTAAGCTCCAGTGAAGAATCTTGGGAATTCCCAGCTGCCTTGTGCAAATCACCTCCAAATATGTTTGATTCTATTGTGTGTGATTCCCAGAAGATTGAAAAAGCTGTGCTCTCTGCCACCTACCCCCTTTACCATTTTATCCTCTTCCATTTCCACTACTTGTACTGCTGCTGCGTTGCTCACTCCTTGACCTTGTGCTTCAATACACTCACGGAGGAAGGCCAAAGAGGGCTGGAGAGAAGAAGGGAGTGAGGTGTGTGTGTGTGTGCACAGCGATGACGGAACTTGGAAATCGCCCCCCAGATTTTTAAACAAAAAATAAACTCTGGGACAGAGGTGGTTGTTTTCCTAATAGGCAGACCTTCAAGAGAGCCAGGAATAAACAATACACTGATATGGTGGCATTTATTTGCTCACTTAGTCAACAGAGATTTACTGAGTCCCTACTATGGTGAGGCTCTGAGCTGGGTGGTGGGTATTTCGGAAAATGAAAGACCTGAGAGTTGCTTCATAGGTAGGATAGGGAACTACAACCCATCATATGGTAAACTTTTATTTTAAAACCTAAACCCCTTAGCTAAGTGAATTCAGGGATTTAACAAACATTTATTCTGTTTTATTGATTATTTTCCTCTTGAAATATTCTTGGCTAAGCTTTATGGCACTATGCTCTCCTGAAATTATTTTCCTTACATCTTAGACTTCTTTGCAGGATTTTTATCCTTAGCCTGTCATTTATGTGTTGGTGTTCTCTGGAGTCTTCATCAGTTTGTTCTGCATATTTCCCTGGGAGTTCTCCTTGCTCCTGTGACTTGTGGTATCATGTATATGATGTGAAAACCAGATCTAAGGACACCAGATTCAGTATGTCCAGTTAAAACTCTTCTCAGCTCATATATAAACCCCTCTCTGAACACTGACACCTGATGTTTCAAGACACCCAAACTCAAAATATAAATTGAACTAATCAACTTCTCCTTATTTTACCAAATAACAACCATCCTTGAAGTTTCCCAATCAAGAAACCTAACAATCATTCTTAACTCCTTCCTTTTACTTCCTAACAACCAATCTCAATGTTCTGTAGATTTTTATACACTAAAACACCTTAAGAAGTCACCCACTCATCTTCACGCTCTTTGCTATTACTCAGTCCAGGTCACTATCAGTCCGTGTGAACCTTCTCACAAATATCTGCATAATCGGTCCTCCTGATTTCAATCTCGCCTGCCTCCACTGATTTTACAGCCAGTCACACATTAAAAATGAAAATTTGATCACATTTTACCCTTGTTTCAAACCCTTCCCTCTTCTCCCATACACTAAGGTGAAAGCCTGACTCCTTTAGGGGTCCTTCAGACCTCTGCTTGCCCTCCAAACTCCTATCCTGCCTCTGCTCCCTCAGTTACTACATTCCACCACCCACAACTTTTCTCAGGTCCTTAAACATGATACTGATGCTCTCTTTCACCTGAAGCCTTACCATAGCCATGACATTGCCTAAAGCTTTGATCTTGACTCCAGACTCATCAATGCTAACTCCTGGTTATCATTTAAACACTGGCTTCCTTTGGGAAGTCTACTGGATTGCCCCTCTACCCCAGCTCACCCTTCTCACCTTTAACTCCCTACACGTACACCCAACCTACCAATACCTCCACCAAACAAAGACAGATCTTCTGATTATATGTTCCCATGTGACTTATAATAACCCTCTAGTAGCATTTTAAAAATATTTTATTATAAACTCCTACTTAGCATTCTTTTCCACTAATTGTGGTGTAAAAGACAAGAAGCTTTCCAGTGTACGCATCTTGTCTTGGTATCTGCAGGACCTAGTACCATGCCTCACACAGAACTGGTGCTCAATAAATATTTGTTCAATGAGTATATGGAGCATTGTTTACTTACAGGGAACTGGAAAGGGTTTAGAGATAAACACCCATTACCCCGAAGGAGGATAACATTCAGCGCAGAATGTCTGTTACACATAATTATATGATGATAATGAGTAAATAAAATCGACTCCAATTTGGATACATGGGGATTTGCTAGCACTGTAAATTGGAATTAAATATTTAGCTCTCCCTTCTGGGATAATCTAATCCACACTAAACACTTCTGGAAGATGGTTTTATGATTTCATATTACAGATGAGAAAATAGGCACAGCAAAGTTAATTGAGTTACTCAAGGTTACCCAGTGAATCAGAAGCAGAGACAAGACTTAAAACTCACAGTTGTCAATCTCCAGTCCTTGGGGCTATCATTTTTTAAAAAATTGCTATGTCTTTTTTCTCCCCAAAGTTCTATTGTGGGACTGCAGAATTTCAACCGACAAATTTTAATACATTTCTCAAACTATCACCTGTGGTATTGATACTCGGATGTGGAAAGTCAGGAATGTTGGCACCTTTTGATAGGTTTTCCTCTAGTCTGTAGCATGAAAGGTTTCCTGTGATGTGTCTCCGTGCTCTTGTGAATGCAGAGAGTGTCAGTTCCTTCTTCGGTCTTAACGGAGTGTTAGTCTTAGGCACTCGCTGCCTCTACCAAGTGCCAACATTGAACTTTTCTGCCATTGGACATCATATTGGATGGTGCCCTACATTTAAAATGTGCATAGTTAGTTGGCTGGCACATTCTATTGCACTCGGTGGACATTTTGGTAGAAAATGCTGCCAGTACTTAATAAATATTTGAGAAGCATCATAGGCTATTAAATTTAACAGGATTACTGTTCCAACATTCATATTGTGAGAGAAATAAACACAAAAAGGTTTGTGCTGCCATTTCAAAAGGGCAGATATGTACTAGGTACTCGATAAGTATGTTGATATGTGGTGTTCGGGGGCCAATGGCAAACATGATGCATAACCAAAATGTCTCAGAAAGCCTTCATTACCTTCCCAGTATACACATTTAGTGTACATAAAAGCTTTGCTTTTTTATAACAACAGCTGTGCTGATAACAGTTTCTCTGAGATATACAGGGTGAGTATGCACTTGAGATTTTCCTAGCCCCAGACTAGACCAAACAAAGCTCCTTCTTTTATACCTGAATAAAGCACAAGATGTTGAAGAATTTAATCTGTACAAAACTGTGGCTAACACAAGCCAATTTTGTTAGATATGTAGATCTTCTTGATTATTTTCAGATCGATTATACAATTTTCGCTTTACAGCTACAGCATCGCATAGAAGAATCCCTAATTACAGACCATTTCCCTTGCTCTCTGGGCTTTGCCTAACCCATCCTTCATTTGCCAGAGGAAATAACTTTACCCCTAAAGCATTCAAGCCACTTATGACATCACTCCCCGGTCCTGTCTCGTACCTCCAGGCCCAAGAAGAACTTTAAATGTCCAAAGTATTTTCTGTTCTTAATCTGCCATGTTGACTCAAAGTGAATTGCTGCTGTCATGTGAGTGTAACTGATTATGTTCCCCTTAATAAAGACAGACACTTGAGTTACCCATTTGTAAGTCAGCCCAAGATAAAAGAAAGAGAACTTCTGGTCAAATGCCAAGTTAATATCAATTGCTTGTTCCTTGAAAATGTCAATTAAAATTCTAGTGTAACTTTTCAAACTCAATTTCCCAATTCAGGAAATGTGGATAAATGCATAGTGAACTGAGAGCCTTAGACAGGCTAAGTCTAAGGTCCATATATGTGTTAATATTCTGGGTTGGTCACTGGTAGATGCCATTCATGGAGTCAGAACACTTTTAACTTTCACCTGAGTATGTAGAAGCCATGAATCCATCCTCATTCATCAGCCCTGTTTTGGGGAAAATGACATCGCAAAGATGTTGCTTTCATTTCCTAATGCTACAGCTCCTATGAAGTTACACCAAGGAATAAAGGCTCCTTTCACGAGCAGCATGAAGGCTGAGTTGGCTTCTTGCTTTAGGAGATTATAAATGCTCTTAAACACTTCTACAGGAAGCAAAGTCCAACGTGGGCTTTAAAGTTCTAATATATATTTTTACTCCATTTGCCACAGTGGTCTGAATGGGGCAATATTAAAGCCTAACAGAGCAAAAAAAAAATGTTTTTATCCCCAGGATACCTGCCCTACAGCAGAATTTAGTTTACCTGCAGAGACTCCATTTCTTCGTCTTTTCTGTGGCTCTCCTCCAGCAGATCTATAATAAGAAAGTAAAACAGCCATTAAAATATGATGTAAGAATTGGTTGCATCTTATTATCAAACCCAATTCAGCCAGTGGCTTGTATGAACTACTGCCAGGAAATAGAATTCGTTGTCAAGTGTGAGAAGCACTGTGAACGGAAAGCCCCTCGTCCCAATGGATGAGATGTGGCAGAGCGCAGGGCCCAGCCAGACCTACGCCGGCTGGGAAGCCCTGGGAGGTCCTAGCTCTGAGGGTGGAGATACCGGAGAAGGAGACCAAGTCCATCACAAATCCAAAATCACACCAGCATTTTAGAAATTGGGTCCAGTGCTTGTATAACTCAACAGTAACACAAAGTTTTCCTTAAAAAAAAAAGTTTTTCTTTTGAAAGAAAAATTAGAAACAAACCATTTGCTCTTAAATTCCCAAGCCAAGTTCCACCTCCAGAGTTGGTTTTTATAACCGTATTAAAATACCCTGGAATAATGGGTGTTATTAATGGAAGTAGAACACCACCTTAACTGTGAAGTCACATTAATTATCATTTCACACTGAAAGGGTGGGAAGCATTGAAGCTGCACCCGACCAAGAGTTTGGCACCGTCTCAGAGAACTCAGTGGCTGGACGGGGAGGCAGTCAACTGAAGAGAGCTCTGCCTAAATGCCTGTGCACAGCCATGCTGTCTTAGTGCCCTCCATTAATTTACGAACTTGTAAAAATATATATGCATATATTTGGCAAGTAGGATTTTCTGCCTGCAGCTATACCACCCGGTGCTATGATCTTATTAGATCTCACAAACCTAGAGAGGGCTGGGCTGAGTCAGAACTTGGATGACAACTGGCAATAAACACCTACCGCAGCGCACATTAATATTAGCATTTACCTTACTCTGTGATGGATATAGCTTACAAGGGGCCTTGCTGCATAAAAGGAAAATATAACTTACAGAAATTATATATATATACATCCCAGGAAGGCAAATGCAAATGTGTTTAGCAAGGGTTACACTAGATGCAGCAGGAAGCAATAATATAGTGGAAAGCCAAGTCACACTGGTACATCTCGCAGCTGGGTGGGCAATACACTGACACTTCAGGAGACCTAGCGGATGATATAATGGATGGTGATGGCGCCTTGAGACTGGATGGCAAGCAAGCCTCTCAAGACAAAATGCACTGGGATTAAGGATTAGAGGTAGTTTTGCTCTGTATCTCAGAGGGGAGCTGAATTCTGCTCCCACACCTCTCATAATCAGTTATGATAAAGTTAAAGGAGCATGGAAATGCATTAGAGTGGATTTTTAAAGGGTTTTTTGGTGGGCATATAAGATTTTTTAGCTGTATCGTGCAGAAACCAAAGTGAATGTGGTAGATTAAGTGCCCTCAATTATTCTTCTTGTGTCCCTACTCATTCGCATTGTGACATTGTAGCTACTTCCGTGAAGGGGCCACAAGCACTACTTTCCACATCTTGCATCTGGGCTGCTTCCTGACTTGATTTTGTAAGTAGAACACAGCAAAAGCAACTTTGTGTAAATCTGCATTGAGGGTTCAAGAGGTCACACATTTTCACTTTTCCACTTCGAACTCTGTCACTGCCATCTGAATGAACCCAGCTTGCAGAGATGACAAGAGACACATGGTCCAGGACTCTTCCCACCCCTGACACCCTGCAGGTTGCCCCCACTGGCAGCCAGCAAATGCCCAGAAGCAGAGATGCCCAGCTGAACTGAAGATGACCACAGATGACACAGGTGGGAGTCCAGCTGAGCCCAGTGCCAACTCACAGAATCGAGACCTAAATAAATGGAATTTGGAGGTAGTTTGGTGCCTACTGCTTGCTAACTGACAGCAACCAGTTGCTAACTGAACAGAAAGCCTTTGGAATCAATGAGAAGGCTATAGGAGTAACTAATAGAGATGTGGGGGAAAAGGATCCAGGCTTGGGAAAGATGACAACTGGGTCTGGGTGGGTAGGGATGCAGGGGGCGTGAACTAATGGGCACTTTATCCTGGGTGCCTCTAATCTTTGTGTCATTCCACTCAAGGTGAAATTCCATAAAGAGAAGAGCTAATGAGCCTAGCTTAGGTCTCGTGCCTACTGCTTGGCTAGGGGAAAGCACGGAGTGCTTTCACTGATAATCCCCAAAGGACTGGATAAAGGACAGAAGGAACAGTAGCCAAAGCAAAATCAGGGTGCTGTTAACAGAAGAAGGCAGAGTGGACAGGCCAAAGCAATAGATGCCGGCTCCAACTGATTTCAGTAAATTATGTCCTCAACACACCTCTCTTCAATGTTTGTAAGATCACTGTTCTGTTCCTACGTGATGTAGCCATTTTGCTACACAACCTAAGGATATCAGGGGGTTCTCAGACCTGGGCTCCTTGTAATGACTACACTGTTGAATGGTACAATGGAATTGTACAGTTGGATGGTGGAGTCCATCAACCATTAAAGGAAACTGATCCTGTTCCTCTGGAGTCAACTTGGTATGGCAAACATCACACACCTTAGCTAAAACTTACTGGACAAATAATGAATAATGGATCACTTACATAGCCCAAATCGACTCACACAGCTGATAAAAAATAGATTTAAGTTCAGTTTACCTACAGAATTTTGTAGTAGAGTTACTGCAATTAAAAATTAGGTTCCCAGTTTTCTCCAGGTACGTAAAGGTCACGTTGGTCTTCCAACAAAGCTGACACTAGTAAGAATGCTTGATTTTGGATGGCTGAACAAAAACAGCTACAAAAGAATTCTTACAATTGGTGTTTAAAATATAGAACCCCCCTCCTGTTCAGCTCCGCCAGCTGTCATCCCAGCTTATGTCAAGAGCAGGCATGGACATCTTGTGTTTCTGTGTTTCTCTGTGCCACATCCCTTCCCTGTGAGAACTCCCTGTCCCTTTCGTGCATGACATTCCTGTGAAACATTCAATCAAGGGGCCCAATGAACCTCTTCTGCCACAAAAGTGGGTCATGACTCAGGCTGGCCAGTCAGAACACCTTACCTCCTACAGCATATAAACTAAGCAATGCCAGCAGAATTCCTTTGGAAACTGAGAGAGAATCCCTCTCCTCCTGAAGCTACTAGTTTATAGTAGCCTGTATTTTCTATGATGTAAAAGAAACCTGTACAATAGTGAAGCTGGCAAAGAAGAAAGCAGAGCCAAGAGACAGAGAGAACTGGCTGAGGACAGATCACTCCTGCCTGAAGCACACCTAACTCCTGGACTTGTAACACGTTACTTTCTTTTACTTAAATTAGCTTTACTTGGATTGCTGTCATTTTTAAACATTTCTAGGGATGTGGTATTATTGAACCTTTTTCTCTATTCAGAGACTTGGAGAACTTAGAGTGGGCAAGAACTTTCTATTCTGTGAAATTTAGTGAAACGTTTCTATTTAGTGAAACGTTTCATTCTACCATAAACAGAGGGAGACACGAGGCTCAAAGGCGGCCAGTGGTTTGCCTGAGATTACCTGGATGGTGCTAGAGCCATGGCTAGAGTTCAGCTCCTCTACTTCCTGCTCCATCTACGATGTCATGTTCTCATCTGTATCACTCAGGACTTAATTGTACCCTTTTCTGTACTCTCATTCTAAAAAATGCACATGTTTTTGTTTCTTTCACTTCCTTCAGGAGTTCTCTGATGTCATCTACCCTTCTTATCTACTATTTCTCTAGCACTGCTACTTGGCTTACATCCCCCAAATTTCCTCTCCTGTCTATATCACTGCTCTGTGCAATTGCTCACTTCTTAGGTGCACTGTTCAAGTACATGCATTTGGAATGATAAACAAAGTTATTAACCTGTGCTGATGAAATATGACTATTGGGCACTGCTGAGAAGTGACTACTCTACTGCAAATGGACACAAGATGAGAGAATATGGATGAAACCTCCAGGAAGCTGAAGTGACCTAATGCTTTGACAAAAAGTGAGTGTGATTAGTTGTTGTAACAAGCAATCTTGCTGTTTGTCTCTGACCAACTTTAGCACAAATGATAGGCATGGAAAAACTAAAGAGCCACTCTGCCCCCTTGCTCACCACTGGCATGTTCATGTTTTGCTTTATTGTTTTCTGGTTTGCTGTTCAATACAAGCAGCAATTCAACTGCCATACAAATTGATGTGTCGAAATGTGCTTCCATCAACATTAGTTAATGAAAGATTTTTTTGGTGAAAAGGGCAGCAGTCCTGTGTCCTTTCTTTGGACTGGCTCCAACTCTTTAAAGAGCTGATACTAACTCATTATGATACATAGTCATTAAGAAGGAAGGGGGAAATCCCATTTTAAAAAGGACACCATGAATGAGAATTGGAGGATCGATTTAGTCTGTTTTTCTTCCACTTTGCATTTGTCTGGAACACTCAGGGTAACAGATCACGACCATATTTTTGGCCAAGACAGTCTTGTACCACTTCTTTGCAGCCTTTACAACTAGTGGTCTGACTGTTCAAGGAAGCTTGCCCCTATTTTTAAAATGTTGATTCTGGTTCCTGGTAGCCAAGGAACCAGATAGGTTGTTGGTTAGTTGATTTACTTTTTTTTTAAGATTTTATTTATTTATTTTTAGAGAAGGGAAGGGAGGGAGAAAAGAGAGAGAGAGAAACATCAGCATGTGGTTGCCTGTCACGTGGCCCCCACTGGGGACATGGCCTGCAACCCAGGCATGTGCCCTGACTGGGAATCAAACCTGCGATGCTTTGGTGCACAGCCCGCGCTCAATCCACTGAGCTACGCCAGCCAGGTTGATTTACTTTTAAAAGGATAATCACTTCCAGGTGTGCATGAGCAACACACCCATCTAGCAATTTGACCCTTCACAGGAAGGTTGGAGATCAAGTTTAGAAATATTTTGTTTTCCTTTAATCATTACTATTAAACAATCTCACCTAGGCCCTGGCTGAGTAGCTCAGTTGGTTAGAGTGTTGTCCTGATACACCAAGGTTGTGGGTTCAATCCCCAGTCAGGGCACATACAAGAAGCAACCAGTGGATGCA